ACAGCTGGTCCTGACAGTTTCCCACAAAGTTTTAGCTTTGGCAATTGTCTTGGCAGTGTGACTCAATTTACGATATTCTAAAGCAAAATTCATATTAAGATGAGCATTCAATGAATTAATGTGATTTTATGGAGGAGTAGAAAAGAACTTACATGGTTTGATGAAGCACCAAAGGAGATTGATAGGGTTCCATTCACAGTGAAACTTTGGCAAAACCATACACAAGTGACCTGCCTCTTCAATTATCTTCTGAAGTACAGGCTTTTCATTTCTGAAGTCCAATTGGTTGATAGAACCTTGAACGCACAGCAGTCGTGAGAGTTGTCTTCAGATGGTGATGCCGCATTGAGTCCCAAGGTGGTACCTAAATTGAGATTTTCAGCAGTGTCTTGAATGATTCTTTCAGCTCGACAAATCTTGTCTTTAGCAAGACCACTTTCTTTGCACTTTTTGCACTTTAATCCCATAGGTTTAAGACCTCTTGATGTGCGCTGTTTGTTGTGATAGCTCCAGAGTCCTTGTTCCGCTAGAATTTGCTGAACTCCTTTGGGTTGATCTGCTAGCTTGATGTTGGGCTGACCTTTGATTTTCTTGATGCCAGGATAATTAGAAGGAAAGTTCATCATTTGAAATTGACCTCGGAGGTGCAAAGGTATGTTGGGATCATCAGTGAGGATGACGGTATCTCAAAGACATGGTTTTCCACCACCTCATCCCAAGTTCATTTTTTCAACCCGCAGATTGTGAGCTGAAGAGCAGTCAAAGATGAACAGCGCTTGACATGTTGGGTTGAGAAACTTGAAAATAGGAATAGCTCGAGTTTTGACCTGGTCAATCAGCTGAGTACAGTTCCACCATGCATCACCTTGGCTCCCAGGGTAAATGACAACTGCAGCATCCTTGAATGAAAGTGTACAGTCAATCTCTGGAGGTATCACAAGCCGGCTGTGCTTATTTTCAACAAAGTCTGAAAGATGCATCAATTTGCCATCACTTTTGTGTTTGAGAGGGCAGTCCTTCTCCAAAAGCAAAGCAAATTTTGGTTCTTTGCCTGTGTGAATAGTACACTTGTCCTGGTAGATCCAAACAATCTCTTGGGTTGAGCCATTGAGTTTTGGATGCATGATTTGATCTAGTTTTCTTCCATCGTAATCAACTTTGTGTTTGCTGAATTCAATGAGTTGCTTATTAAAATCCTGTCGCTTGAAAACAACATCCACATGTTCATGCCCATTGTAATAGATACATTTAGACTGAGCTTTAACATGTAAACCAAGTTTATGCATCCATTTGTTACCTGTAGCTAAAGTGATACTATCTGGATATTCATCAAACTTAGGTAAGATTTCTCTGTTAACATGATCAACTAGCTTTTTGGGTGTGACCTGAGTAGTTGAATCAAGGAGAACTTGTTAAAAAGATTCAAGTTTGAGTTCAAAGTGTTGAACATACCTTGCCAACCTTGTAATTTGGAAGCCGATCTCTGATCATTTGAAGAACCTCAGGATTGTCAATTATCAAAGGATGCTTGGTGGAACAGCCATTTTGTGGTTGAATAACGCGGCCATGAATCATCAGATAAGCTGCTTGTTTCCGCATCTGACGTGCATGACCAGTTCCGCCAACCAATCCGGATTGAGGTCCAATTGTTCAACAAAGAGATGCCTTTGCTACTGCCTTTGATGCTTCTATGCTACAAGATCTTTGGCTTTTGAGATTAAGGGCGCGTTCACTTAAGCAATTTCTGGTGAGAAATCACATTCTGCAAAATTTAAAGTGTCCATTTGGTGGTGCATGTTTCATTTTTGCATTAAAAAATTTACAGAATGTGGTTTCTGGTCAGAAATTCCTTAAGTGTACGTGCCCTAAGTTCCTTCAGAAGGTTATTGTACTCACACAATTCAAGTAGGGTGTCGTATTGTTCATTAGAATGTGAATTTGAAGTAAATTGGCTAGTATAATAAGATTTGGCTTTTTCAATGCTAACTTTGAGTTCCTCCCATTTTTGGTGGCTGCAAGCCAGCTGACGTGTTGTTTTAAATATTGGTTAATCAGCTTTTTCAGTGTTCTTATGATGATCAATGCTCTGGTTCGATGATAACAGGATTTGGCAAGTCGAGCTCAGATTTAGTCTTGTCTTGAGATTCAAGATTGAAGTCTGATCCATCTATATCATTTAATGTCTTGATCTTGAGAATTGAGATTTAATTGATAGCTTTCTTGAGAGTTGAGTTCAAGTTTATTGTTGGTGATTGGATGAATTGTCATATTCAAAGAAGCCTTGGTATCTTGGGTTGAGGGCAAACTGGGAGTTATATTTGATGCAGTTTTCAATGGCCTTGGAGTTGTTGATCCACGCCAATGGTGGTGTTGAGCTTGACAGCGTTTATTGACGGCCATGACTTTGATATCAGAACTTAGAAGGGAATGGGCAAATCTTCAATGACGCCAAAGATTCAAAAGTTGATTATTTTGAAATTTACCCCATGGACTGAAGTTGACACAGGGCTTTGCCCCGTCTGAAATTTGCAAGCCTTTGGCACTAGCAACCATACATACATCACAACAGCTACTTGTGAAATATTCATGAAGCTGTGTAACCGGAACAGAAGGGGAATCTGGTCCCTAGGACCCATATTCCTATCTGGGAACCTCTAATACTGGCAGTGGCTACATTCAAAAGTTGTAATGTAGGCAGGATTTTTGAATGCCTACATCCAATTTTGTGGGAATGTAGGTGCTTTTTTTGTGGGAAACACCCATCTAGGCCCGTTTTTGGCAGAGCCCGAGCCTAGATGGATTTTCTTTGGGCTGCAAATAGCAGCGGGCTTTTTTTAAAACTCAATTTTTCAATTTTGGAACTGGTTTTTCTTTTTTGTAACTTGTTATATTTTTTTTTTGATTTTCCTTTTCACTTTAACTTTATTTTACATGAAATATTTAATGTTGATCAAGTAGCAAGATTTAACTTTATTCAAGTTTAATCAGAGCAAAACAAAAAAAAATTAATCAATTTCAATCAAACTTAACTAAGTCCACAATCATGCCAGGGTTTCACATTGCGAGGAATGGTAGTTCATAATTATTCCAATTCCCATTGAAGTAGGGCAGATTAAAAATTCATGACAACTGCTTGTTGAAAATGAGCCACCAATCTCATGTTGCTGAGGATGATGATCTTGTGACTGCATTAGATTTACTTAAATCAAGCTTAAAGTATGTATGTAGAATACTTCGAAAAATTGGCAAAGCTCTTACTACAATTTTAAAAGGTTTGTTTTAATGACATGATTGAAAGAAAAATTCTGGTGAGGCCTTCTCATGTTACCTTCCTTGAATTTGACAGCTTGGACCAATTTTTGGTTGGGATTTTTATTTTTATTTTCAAGATTTTATGAATTCATTTGTATGACTGATCTGTAGCTACTAGAGGCTGCCTATTGACTTGCATCTAGAATATACTTGAATGCTCGAACTTTTCTAACATCAAGTTGTGATATCCTGATGCAAAAAGAATCATTATTTTTCAACTCAGTGAAAGATACAAGCAAATGAAAATTGGAATGTTAGAACCGTTACGAAGGTTTGAAATGACGAGGTGATTCAGTGATTGCGATCAATTTCAATGCTCGAACAAAATTCATTTCCACCCAACCACGAAGAATTCATTGGTTTTGAGAAGATGGAGCTAGGTAGGAACTGAAAGTTGGGATCAGATTGATTGAGCTGCTTACATTCGTTTTGTTGAATTCTTTGTTAAAACTTCATTCATCTTTGGAGTATATCTGATCGTATAACGAAGCTCCTAGTTTACTTTTTCTGGTGGTACTAGCTACTGTTTTTTTGCAAAGGAACCCTGAGATTGAGTGTGAATAGGTGTGAATGGATACATGCAACAACTTGCCATATTATTAGCTGCTCGCTTGCTTTGTAAGTAACTCTGTCTAGCGAATTTTTGTAGCACGGCTGGGTCAATCAGCTTGGTGATTTGAGATATCGAGAGAGAGAGAGATTTTGGTAAGATTCAAAAGTTGAACACATCATTCCGTCAAGACTTAGCTGCGGTTGTCCCCTAAATCAACACATTTTTTTTATCACAGGTCTGATGTAAATGATTGGACCAGGGGCAAAAAGTTAAACGAAGATAGGTGTCAAATAGATGTTTTTATCAGTCGGAATATCGTATATTTTTATCGAGGTGAACTCTTTTATAGATACAACAAGCTGAGTGTTCGACGAAGTCGGCCCAAAGAGTGGGAGGAGCTGCAGTCATTTGGCCAACTGACTATCCGAGTCCAGCTGTTGAGAATTCTTATCATGCTATCCTCAAACTGTTGTCACAAGTACCTATGTAGTACCTGATGACATATAGCCATTTGAATTACCAAGCAAACACACTTATAAATTATATCCGTGACAAACAATAACGAGTTATCAATAAAGCAGACCCAAAATGAATAACAAAAGACAATACATGCATGTTTTTTTTTCGGAAACGATTGACAGTTTCGAGAAGATGAACACTGTTTTACATAAAAGAATGAAGACAAGGAGTGTACGTGAAGAAGTTGATAATGCAGTTTGTACAAGATATTCATCTAGAGAGAAATTTGATTACAATTTTATTACCCTGGTGCATTCCTTCACCACCAGGACATACGGCGTAGTCATCTTGCTCTTCCAATGAACGAGCAAAGATGGAAGGATCCGCAAATTCACATGTCCCAAGATCGGAGACATGGAGGAATAGAGAAAATGAAAGAATATGAAATAGTTAAGATCAAACTATACATAACAGGAAAGGTGAGAATCAAGTGGTTGATTTGAGGGTCCAGTTAAGATTGAATCGAGTGAACCGGCAAAGCGAGTTGAAGCATGAAGAAAATAACACCTCGAGATTGCAGAAACTGTCGGATGAAGTCCCTGAAACGTCGAAAAATCAAAAAGCAAAAGAATCAGAACCTATTTAAAGAAAAACAACATCAATGAAAATTTAATACTCACCGTAATTCAATCTTGCAGCGAGCATCTTGCACCCAAATCCACAAGGATTCGATCAAGAATTGAAACAATTCTTCCTTTGTAAATGGTTCAATCGGAGTTGCAATACCAAGACCTCTAACAAAATCCTCTTCCATTCTACTCGCAATAGAATCGGTAACTCTTTGTCCTTGTAGTTCACGTCTTCTTCTTGGTGAGATACTTTTGGGCTTTCTCAATTGATACAATAGACCTCGTGAACAAAATGCCAAGCGTTCAAGTGCAAGTCGGTCATGAGAAGGAATGGGTCCTTCTGCTATTGGTTCGAGGATTTCGGTAACGGAGGAAGGCCCAAGACCGGCGCATTTCCCATGTTCCACGAGTATGTCGCTTAGATAAGGACGTCTCGCGAAAAGGATTTCGGCTAAGGGAGGGGGTGGATCCTCGGAACTAGATAATGAGATGTCAATAAAATCGGAAGTCAGCTGTGAATGAATTAGATCAAGATCAAAGAAAGATAAGACATACTCTGAGTCTCGGGGCAACCTGACAGACGGACGGATGACACAGCGGCGACGGATCCTTTGCTTGATATGCTCGGGAATGGAGGTCGTCTTGAAGGTCTTATGATAACGAGGATCGAATGCTTCATCCGAAAGCAGAGACGATATATACACCATCTTATACAAGGAGCTAGTGAATGGACTGAGAGAAGTGAAAACCGAGAGGAGGGACTTTAAAAGTACTAGGAAGGTTCGGTCGAGGTGAAAACTAGGAGGTGATCGCTTGGTTGAAGGTAGTGAGGTTGTAAGATTGAGACGGAAATCGATTTGAAAGTGTTGGTAGTGAGGATGGTTGGTTCTGTATCTGAAGAACTGAAGTCGACGAATTTTATGATCCGGAGATCAGCTTTTGAGTGCTGATCAGCTAAAAGACTTGTATTGGGGGAATACTTGCCGCGGCCACTTCCATATTTGTGATCACGAGACTTGCTGAACGGAGCATTCCAATCGTTTCATGTTTGTTTGTTTGTTTACTGTATTTATTTCAAAACCTTATTTTGCCGACTGAGCTGGCTATGATTGCGAGTGGGGCGCAGAGTTTTCCGGCTGGTGATACGCGTGATGTGTGGAAGAAATCGAAGTCCTGGATCTTTGGGATTAACGAATGGGGATTGAGGTAATGAAGAGTTAGTTCTATGATATACGGATTCTTTGTTGCCGCCAGAAAAAACTTACGGATCTCTGCAGCTCTTGGTTATAGAAAAGCGCTGTCGGTTTGCTTTTCGCAGCTAATGTTGGATGTGATGGGAATCCTATCAAAAATATCTGCGCGACCTATGCAGGGCATCATCTCGAAGATCCCAGCAAGTTTCTTGATGGCTCCGAGTTCCTTTTGAAGATCCTGTTGGTTAGATTGATCCGAGGGAATCAGTGATGAATCTCCTTCAAAATTATTCTTGTCAGGGGCCGGCAAGCCTTTAGGAGTCCTTTGTGAACTTTTCCGTTCGGCCTGAGCCCGCAACTTCTTTTTCTGCGATTGGTTCATGAGGTTGATCCAGATGCGGAAAGGTTACCATATAATCTCAATGATTTGCGAAAGGTATTTGGTTATTAACTCGTTTCAACAAAAGTTTACTTATTTTCTTGTTTATATTTGTGAAATATATGTCTTTTTGATGATTTTATCATCACTATGGTACTTGTGGGCGTTATTTTTTCATTTACACCTTCTTAAATCATAGTCTAAATCCTAATCATTTGTCACTTGGATCTATTGGAAGCTTTTATTGAGTTCCCGTCTCCAGAGCGTTGCAGGCTTTGCGAGACCTCATCCGAGCACGGATTGAATTGGAATTATTTTTATAATTTTCATACGTTCCATCACGTTTATTGCTATTTAATCTCCTTCAAATCTAGAATCTAGGACTATTTGGTTATTAACTTGTATCAACAAACGTTTACTTATTTTCTTGTTTATGTTTGTGAAATATCTGTCTTTTAGATAATTTTCTCATCAGTATGGTACTTGAATGCATGTTTGTTTATTTTCATTTACACCTGATTCAATCAGAATCTAAATCCTGATCATTCATCTTCTTGGACACATTGGAACCGTCCATTGAGCTCCAGTATTCAGAGAGTTGCGGGCTTTGCGAGACTGTATGTGGATTACAAACTATTCGTGGGCATGCAAAGGCTTCTGCAGCTTGTGTGAGCCCCCGAGCGCGGTCCACGCGTGTTTTATACCTATGTTGCAATCTAAAGACGCTCAAAGTGCTATATCTTGAAGACCCTTCATCTCAGAAGTTCGCTACATGGTCACTTCAATTTCATCGTGACCACCAACCAAGTCACGACTTGGTGTATAAGTCTAAGACTGAGTAGGATGGTAGTAGTAAGAAGCTCTTGTATGAAGCAGTGAGTGCTCGTGATAGCAACGTGGAAAATTTCAGATTTCCACTACCACCGTGACCTCACCTCCCGCGGCCAAGCAGAACGCATCTGAGCACCACTCAGCTCTCATCGCTCAACATTATTACATTTTGAAATACTACCCAGCCCATCCAGGCAAAGTCAAGACCGCGGGGTTTGCGAGGTGAGGAGGTTTTCTCACTCACGGACAGACTATATTTGTTAGACTTAGGTCTGGTCGGTAAATTAGGAAGTGATAGAAATCGAGCGCACAAGCCCGAACAAAGGGGATTATTCCCATCAAAGGTTTCAAGATAAAACATTAAAAGCATCGACTCTCAAGCTCAGCATAGATATTATGTTGTAACCTTTTCAAAATGATACAAGATCTCAACTGAGAAGATACTTTATAAAATTATCAGCGTTTCCGCGGACTCGTTCTTATTTGCACGAGATCTGCGACAATGGATCTTCACTTTCGACCCCAATCAAACCGGGCGCGACATGTGTCTACTTTGCTGATGTAGGTGGCAGCGACATACAAGTTCTTACTTTACAATGCCTCTACGTATAGTTCGTCTAAACATTGGCTAAGAGATTCAAGAGGCTCTTCAAATGCAAATTGATCAAGCAGTCTTTTGAAGAGATTCCAAGCAAGAGTTGGCCAGTGAGTGCGCAGGTTAGCAGTTAATCATTGCCATATTTTAGGGTGATAAAATGTCAGCTGTTGCATGAGGACCTTCACGCTCGATTTGGCGTATTCTTTGCGCAAAAAACGAGCTAGTACAACAACGAAATGAAGATTTTGAGAAGTTGAAACAGGAGCTTTTATATTTAAGATTGAACAGCCTGCTTCAATTCGTGTCAGTCTGAATTTTGATTGGTAGGAATGAATAAGGGTAATCTACTCAATGTCAAAGATTAAGTCGGACAAAACTGGTTAATATATTCATCAGGATCAATGTGCAGCTGTACTGATAGTTCTCATCATGATATTGGGCATTGAATCAGTCTTCAGCATCACTTTGTATGACCTTTCAATTCAATATCTTATTTTTGATCCTTCATTCTAATGTCTTCTTGACCCAACACACACATTCGAGTTGTAGAGATATAACGAATGTTATGCTTCGTGGCAAAGAGCAGCTTCTAATTCAAAAATGAGATATCGATCATTTCATCCCCATGTACAAAATGTATGAACAATGCGCAATGAGAAATATAATGCTTTCCACTTCATCCTGATTGTTTTTAGCAAAAAGTCGGCTGTCCAAATAAATGACATCGAAAAGCACAGAGATCATAAAGAACAATCGAAGTCAACGATGCGCCGGCCATGATTTTCACACAGGGACTCAATGATGCTATTTTTCACATATCGCCACAAATCAATTTCGAAGTGGTGAATGAGACCCTAGACCGTTTATCTACTGACTCGATCTTTCGTCGTACCCGTTAAGGAATGATTCAATATCATTATCAGAATGGGGTGATACGCCGCCAATCATGATACGTTCGAGTTGAAGACTTGCCGAAAGGTCTAGGAAAATGAGGCCACATAACAAGTTCCACTTCTCGTCGATCTGGTTTGTTGGATCACATCCTCAGTGGGGTATTTTAAGCTCCTTCGATGTTCATGCACCTTTCGTGGGTTATCGTATGGATATCTCGTTTATAGCCACAAAGTAATTTTTTCATTTCGTCTGAGCAGTAACTATAATCGTTGAGCACAAAAGCAGACAGTCAAACCAGAGAGCTCAGCCTCAGCAAATCCGATATCGACTGGACCGTGTCAGAGGATCCGATCCGATGGCTATGCTGGATGGATTGAGATTGTACCGCTGTGGATGTTTGACTGTATTCGACAAACGATAAAATATCCGGATTCCGAGCATTCAGGGTCTCAAACCACATCCAAACTACTTCCATCCGAAAAAAGTTGAGAGATACCGTATACGCAATATCAACTCGAACTTGATTGTATCGAAACAAAGATGAGTGAAGTCCAAGAACAGAGAATCAATCAATACAATTGTAAGTCGTACTTTCGTTTCTTACTTATCAACATTTTTCTTGAAACTAATGAAAACTTTTTGTTGTTGATTGGTTGGAAATGAAAAAACTTTAGTTCGAGCATTAAAATCGATTGGAATCACTGAATCTCATCCTCAATTTAGACCTCTTCAAAGCTTTCAACAGTTCAGTTTGACTTCTTCGATGGATATTCATATATCGAATGTTTTATTGACCTCAACACACATTGTTTGTTCTTTTTTGGTATCTTCAGACCTAATGTTGAAAACGTTCGAGCATTCAAGTACAGTCCAGATGGAAGTCGATATGCAGTAGCAGCAACGAATGAGTACGAACGAATTCACAACTTTTCACAATCAGATATCAAATCAACATTCCACTTTTTTGAAGTTAAATCAAACCTTTGCCTTTGTGTTTTGTAGCGTTCGAGTTTATGATGCACAAAATGGACAACTTTTAATTCAAATCGATTTACCTAATGTGATTGAAATTTCATTTTCTCCCAAAGGTACTTGGATTAGTACATGGGAACGTTATGGTTAGTTTTTCATTTCTTTCTCCCTTGATATATCCCTAGAAAATTCTCTCCTCATCAATTTTTTGTTGATTTTTGTACAGTTAAACCTACGGATGAAAGTGCACAACATAAAAATATGCGTGTTTGGGATGTTAGTACGGGTCAAGAAGTGATTAGCTTTTCACAGAAATCTATTGAAGCTTGGTACGATTTCTTATTCAAAAATTTGATCAACAATCCGACCAATTTTCAATTTGTGGCATGTTCAGCTTATCTTGATTTTTTTTGTTTCTTTGAAATTTAGGTCATTACAATTCACCGATAACGAATCTCATGCACTAAGGTTGATTTCCAATGAGATCCAAGTATATGATCCATCAAAAGGATTCCAAAGTGGTTCATCAATGATCACCAAATTCAAATTAGAAGGATTAACAAGTTACAAATTATCACCCGGAAGAAATCCATCAATATCAATCTTTATACCCGAGAAGAATGGATCACCAGCATGTGTGAAGATATTTGGATTAATCGGATTAACATCAAATTCATTACCGATTTCATCTAAAACTTTCTTTAAAGCTGATAAAGTTCAATTTAAATGGAATCGATCGGGTACTAGTTTACTTTTTTTAACTCATACTGATGTAGACAAGACTGGTAAATCTTACTACGGCGAAACCAATCTATACATGTTATCTGCTAATGGTACATTTGATTGTCGGGTCACATTGGGTAAGTTTTTTCTTCGAAGAAGTGATTTGAAACTTTTAAATCTGGTATATGTGTCCTCTAAAGATCAACGTCGGAAAATTTCAATATACATCAAAGGAAATCCTTGAATCTGACTTTTGGTTTCTCTTTCACTTCGCTAGATCGTGAGGGTGGAATCCATGACTTTGTTTGGTCACCTAACGATAAGGAATTCACTGACAGCTATAGATGTAAGATTGTCTTCATCTTACTGAAATCTCAATCAGATTCTTTCCAGCTCTTTTATCACTCAAACTGACACTTTTCTTTTCAAAACCTTTAAATAAAACTTCTCCCACAGATATGCCAGCCAAGACAACAATCTTTGATCATAGATCAAACTTAATCCACGACTTTGGTAGAATCTTTTTTACTCATGCCTACAATAAATGATAATACTTTAATTGATCCGGATTCGTTAACAAAAGCTCGTAAGTTTCTCCAAATCAACCAAACATGATAGAGTTTTGAGTATCATATGAAACATCGAACTGATGATCCATCAAATGGGGGGAATACTAAATCATTCAGGTGATATTTTAGAATTCGGTGCATTTTATTCTTTAAGAAGTCAAGATATTCCAGCCTTGGAAAGATATATTGCACAACTTGGACCGTATTATAATGATTATAAGTAAGATCCTATGTCCCCCCTCCCCCCCAAAAAAAGTCAAAAGAAAAACTGACAGATTTGGTTTTTGCTTTGGGGTGCGGTTTTTTTCATTAGTTCAATTTTACCTATTTCTGAACGTAGATATCCGATTATTGGATTAGATTTATTAAGATTACTTTCTCAAAACAAGATTGCTCAGTCCCATACAGTCTTAGAAGGTTTAGTTAAAGAACATGGACAAAAGAATATTGATATTCGTTGGTGAGATTTTCTAAGCTCTTCTACTTTTGGTGCATCTCATTCAACCTGAAACTGATTTTTCTTTGGGGGGGGTTTCTGTAGTTCATACTAACAACGTCTGAACCGCCCCGCTTCGCGTCGCTCTAAGCCACTTTTTTTGTAGTGGGGCGAGAAGCCGCTACAAGTACAATCGCTCTCGATCCGCTTTCAAAAAGCAAGCGCTACACACTAATGGGAGCGTGGCGATTGTTCAGACCGCTCTCGCTCCGCTCAGGGAAATTTTCAGGCATTGCAGCGGGCCGGGCGAGTGTTTTATTCACAATTTTTTTTTATTTTCAAAATGTACATAAGAATAAGATATAAACAGTCTGCTACAAAGAGAAACAAACAAAAATTAGAACAAACAAAGAGACTGCTAACAAAAGTTGAGAAAAGGTGTTGAACGAGTGAATAGAAATTGAAGAGAGACATTCAGCAAGAGCAGACAGTGTTTAAAAAGCGAGACAGTAGAAGGAAAAAGGAGAAAGCAAAAAAAAAAAGATTGAGGAAAACAGACAACAAAAGTTGAGAAAAAAACATGTTGAACGAGTGAATAGAAATGAAAATCAGACTTTGAGCGAGCACCAAACAGGGTTGAAAAAACAAAGACAGTGGAAGGAAAAGAGACAAGAACAAAATGGACATTGAAAGGTAATCGGCGGGAAATTCAAAACAAGACATTTAAAAGAAAAGGAAACATTCAAAAGATATGACAATCAAAGAGAAAACGGATTGAATATAAAATTAATCCAAAATGTTAGAGACAGCAGTCTTTCTTTTTGAATTCAAAGCATAGGATGCTACATAAGTAATTGCATCTGAAAATCGACCAAGAACTTCAATACCAGCCCGAAGCCACTCCCTACAACCAACAGCCATTGATATCATCTTTGGCTTCAAAGCACCTCGTCCAGGTACAGCAATATCTGATGCAGACGAGAAAGTGCGTTCAACGCAACAAGAGGTGGCCGAGATTGACAAGTAATCGCGAGCAAGTGAAGCAAGGACCGGGAACTGTTCGCTATGTTCCTGTAATAGTATGAATTATCCAGGTCAGTTCTTGATTGAAAAACTCTCAACAAAAAAAGATGAAACGAACCTCCCACCAAGTAAGTTCAGATTGACCAGGCAAGATAGGATCAATGCCTTGAAGGTACCGATCAAGCTCAGCAGCCCGGACTTTTGAAGAGTTGTCAGACAAGATTTCAGCGGTGAATATGTCAAAATGATCGAAATGGTCTCTTGAAGGTTGGGACGAATTGGGAGGTGGGGTGACTTCAGGAGTGGCTGGCCAATCCTCCACTGCTTTATTAAAGATACATTGAATACCACCTTTGGCTCGGTCAGCGTGTTCAGCATAGTGAACATCGAAGAACTTCAATCGATATCTTGGGTTAAGAACAGTGGCCATCAAGATAATTTCCGCTGATGCCGCTTCTTGCTGATATTGGGCAAGTTTAGGTAACATGACATCGATCATGCTCACTATGGATGTGAAGGTTGAGCTGTCGTGAATCTGCTGGAGGGTTTCGGACACTCGAAGGTATTCAGCTAGAAGGATTGATCCAGAGGCGAAATTGCCCTCCATCCGCTTGGTTGATAACCGAAATACCTGATGGGTAAGCTCATTCAAAAGGTTAGTCAATTCACTTAGACGAGAAAACCAGAAGGAAAATGGAACTTACTTCTAAAACCAAACAGAAGGCCTCCACAGCATCCCATTCTTCCATGGTCATCATGATACCCTGGTAGTACTTAGTCTTCCGATCGGCAATCAAGATGGAGTCGACAATCTAGAGAGAAGGGTGTCAGCATTAGAGAGAGGAAAGCAAGAGATTAGAACAAATGAAGTAGAAAATAAAGAAACTACTTACATCGCGTGCACTAACTAAATTAGACAACATCTTCAAGTCGATGTTCCATCGAACACCCCACCCAGCAATCGGTGCTGGCCCCTTATAGCCCATCTGAGCAGCTCGGGCCTGAAATTCGCAACGGCGAGCACTGCTTCGGGTCAATAATGCATTGAATTCCTTGAGCTTCAAAAATGGAGAGATGTCAGTATACCTGCTTAAAAAGGATGAATGAAGCATTTGAAAGGAAACATACCTTGAGATAACCCTGAACCACAACACAGCCATTCCTTGGCTCATCATCATAACCAAAACCTTCATATTCTTCATCAAAATCTAAATCATCAACTACATTTAACCGGCCTGAGTGATTGGGAATTGCATCTTCATCTTCATCGTCTTCAGAAATCAAGGCTAATGCTTCAAGGTCGTTGTTGAGGATGAGTGAGGGGACTGGGACTGAAACATGTGGTGGAGTTGTTGGTTTGACGTGACCAGCGGACAATCGTAGAGAACTCAAGCCATGCTTTACAACCAATCCGAGTTTATGAGCAAAACATCGGACATGATTGTCTCGTGAATTCCATTCGACCGGGTCCTCACAATCCATGAAGGCCTTCTGCATTTCTCGAGCCATTGGGAAATTTGACGAACCGGAATCAGTGGTTTGACCTATCATGTAATCAACCAAATAAAAAAAGGTCAGTCGAGGCTGATGAATAGATAAGTTTAAAAGAGAGAAAAGGAAAGGGTGAAAGGAATGGAGACTTATCTTCTTATGTAAATTGTTTGCTATTAAGAATCGTGCAACTGGTTGTGCAAGAAGATACCCTACTTTATTCCAAGCAACAAGTTTAAGTGTGAGGTGGACCGATCGATACTTCCAATCTTGATCAATGAAATTAGCCGACACGCCAATGAAAGCATACCGGTTCCCCTTTGTGGTCCATACATCATGGACAAGGGAGAACTTGCTTGGATTGTCCTGTTCACAAGCAAGGTCAGTTCTCAAAACAAATCGAGATATCAGTAAGGTAAGGCAGAATAGGACTTACACGAACTAAAGCCAACGCTGCCGACTGCAAAGTGCAACAGAGCTCCTTTGCTGCACGAGCTGCCCAGGTAGGAGTTCTCAAGACCGCTCGTCGATTTGCTAGAGTGAAAGCCGCACGCAAAGGAATGTCATAGAACCTGTTGAAAGGGAGAGCGTGCCAGAGGGTCCACACCACAAGAACCGTGTTGCATAACTCAACGCTGAAGGTGGTCTGGGAGAGGAAGGCGTCTAGAGTAGGTTGACCGTTTGCTTCATTCGAAGCAATCATTGCTTCAGACTGCTCTTGAGCCCAGCTCAAAGGTAGCCTGCAGCCAGCTTTGATGGCTCAGGATCGATGAGGACAGGCTGCTCGTCCCTTAGCGCCGTCACGATGGGCGTATAGGTTCCAGTTTGTACGGAGACCCCGTACAAAAACACCATGACACCACCGACACCTATAAGCTCGAGGGTCGTCACCAGACTTCAAAGAGAGAAAAAAGAACACAAGTTTAGTATTGGGCTGTTTGGGTTGGTCGAGTAGGGGAAATTGAGACTTACTTCACCAGGCAGGTGATGAGGAGGACAGTAAAAGTCCAGGAGTTCCTTAACTCGTTGCATTTGAAGACGGCGAGCCCCAGTGTCAACGATTTCGACTGAGGATTCTTCTTGATTGACATCAATGACATCAGGAACAGCCTCGGTTGGTTTTGGCTGTGTTTTTGTGGGTGGAATGATAGGATGTAAAGGAAAGAAATAGAAAAGTGAAACATAAAGGTGAGAAGAAGAAATGAATAGGAATCGAATAGGTAATAGACAACTTACCTTAGGAGCCCGCTTCTTTCGTCTTGGAGGTCCTTGAGACATACCGATAGATGCACCCGAGCCTCTGGGACGACGCTTGGCCTTCTTGCTTGGGAAGACAGCCTTCTTGCCTTTTGGGCTTGTTGTCAAGTCGATGATCGGCAACTCGGCTTCTTCTTGGTCTTCGTCTTCGTCAACAAACTCGAGTTCACCTTCAGAATTGCCACGACTGCTGACAATTTGGGATAGACCCGGTGCAAACTCGGATTGATCGTCATCGTCATCAGGATCAGGACTGGGACTCGGAGGACGAAGAGAATATACACGCAAGTCGTTGGATTGAAGAACAAATCCAGGCTTAGGTTGAGTTGGGGTACGAGGACAAAGCATTGGACCCGTATGGGTAGACGGAGTAGCAGGAGGAGCAGTAAGTAACGGAGTTGATGAAGGCATCTTTGTTCTGACTAAGTAAAAACGACTAAGTAAGAAGAGGAAGGATGGGTGGACAATGATGTGTTAGTATCAATCAATCAAATATATTCGAGTGTTATCAAATTATTGGCCTGAGGAGAAAGAGGAAAATGAAAAACAAGACGGCACGCAGCTGATTATATAGGCGTCCAGCTGGCAGAGGTGGCGACAAAGGCCATAGAAATCTCGTGACGTAGGTCAAGACCCCCAAAATGCCGCACCGATATTGTTATCTAAAGGGCATTCGACGCAATCAGCAAGGTTACTATTTGATTTTGTTTGATATCAATCGAAGTTTTAAAAAGAACTTACCCAAATATTCAATATCCAGCCGTATCAGATGGTATCAGGCCGGTGTTGTTTACAATGGCGTCATTGATTGGAATCGAATGGATCGGATGGAATAACCTAATCGGAATATAAGTCGAATCAAAAGCTAATCGGATTGTCGAACAGGTCACGAGGTGTGTTGTTGGCGAGATGAAAAGATTAATCTGATCGTGTTAGGGTCACCGCTGCATATCGCTTTGAGGCGGTGTCGCGGGGCGGTCTTGGCAGTCGCTCAGCTACATACGCAGTCCACTACATGACAGCCCACGAGAGGGTATCACAGGCGGATCGCCAGGCCCCGATACATGAAATTTTTGCAGCGACAGCGGGGCGGACCGCCCCGCTGTCGCCCCGCCTGCGCTTTTTGCAGCGGATCGATTCAGGCGTTGATACTAATCCTTATATTTCACATCCGGTGAATTTAGAAAGATAGTTAACGGAAGGTTCTCATTCTAAAGTTTGGTCTGCTAGATCTAAAATTCCTATGGAAGAATACAAATATTTTGTAGATTTATTAGTAGATACCATCAGGTTTGTTTGTTTCACCAAATGAACAAATGGATTCTGATTTGAATGAGTTTGAAAATTGATTTCTTTCTTTTACCTTTTTTTGGGGGAATGGTAGGAATGAGATCGCATCTTGTGAAGAAAAAGCTTATGCTTCTTTACCATTAAGTGATGCAGGTACGCTTTTGTTTTTCAAAACAGTTGGAGAAGTAATTGAGTTTGCTCAAAAAGTGAGTCTATATATTCAAGAATCAGTTTGAAACCTTCTTGATCACTGATGTTCGGATTGGGTTCATAGCGTAATTGGCAAATCGATCCGATTTCAAAAAGTATCATTTTTCCTGAACTGGGTGGGATTCGACATGAATTAGCTAAAGAAAAAGTCATTGAAGCTACTTTGGGTTATGCAAAAGAATTAGAAACGATTGTTTAGAAATCATATGTGTGTGTGTTGTTCTGTTGGGTTTGAATGACGTTTTTTGGTCAAGGTTTTGTTTCGTGTTGGGATTTGGTATAGTTGGAAGTAGGAGGAGAGGAATGTATGATGATGAAATTTTAGAGTCATAAAGTTTAATTAGAAACGATTTGTAAGAACTTGGGTTTGAATTCTTTCAAAAGATCATGCTTGAACCCTTAAGCAGATGAGTTCAGACATAAAGATGAATGCAGTGATGATAGTATCAAATAAACTTGAACAAGCTTTAAACCAACGACAATTCTGCGGCAAACCAAAGATTATTCTAAATCCCATTGAAGTAGGGTACATTCAATATTCACGCCAACACTTTCTGCTGAAATTTGTGTCGAAATTTGAAGTTTTGGCGGGTTTTGAGAACTCTTCATCACTTAGGAACACCTATAATCTTTCACCTCACCTCATTTCAATTTACAAGTTAGGTCTCATAAGCTTGAGGATAGAAGGAGTCATACTATAATTGACGGAGAGTCTGTAAACTACACCAAGAATGTCAGACCATCAAATCCGTTATCATTTACCGCTTTTTGAAAATGAGCAACCGATCTCATGGTGCTGAGAATGATAATGTCCTGTCTACTGCATTTGGTTTACTTAAATCAATTATGAATGCTTGTAGAATACTTTGAAAAATTGGCGAAGCTCTTACTACAATTTTAAAAGGTTTAGTACAAGAACATGATCAGAATGAAAACATGCAACAAGTTGTCATATTATTACCTTCTCACTCGCTTTGTATCTCTTTCTAGCGATTTTTTATCACGGCTGGGTTAATTTGGTGATTTAAAATATTGACAGAGAGGGCTTGGTATGATTCAAAAGTCAGACACATTGGGGCTGGTGTAAATGATTGGACCAGGGGCAAAACGAGAATAGGTGTCAAATAGATGTTGCTATAAAATCATCTTTGTTAAGGCGAATTCTGTTATGGATACAACAATTTGGGCGTCTTAGAATTCTTCGTTAGTTACTTGCATTTTTGTGAGGCCCTCAAAAAATTCGATGAAGTCGACTCGAAGAGTGGAAGGAGCTGCAGCCATTTGGCCAACTGACTATCCAAATTCAGCTGTTGAGAATTCTCACCATACTATCCTCAAACTGTTTTCATAAGTACCTATGTAGTCTCCCATGACAACTAGCTCATTGGATTACCAAGCAAACACACTTATAAATTATATCCGTAACAAACAATAACGAGTTATCAATACATCAGACCCAAAATGAATAGCAAAAGACAATGCATGAATGTTTTTTTTTCGGAAACGATTGACAATTTAGAGAAGTTAAAAACTGTTTTACATAAAAGAATACATAAAAGGAGTGTACGTGAAAAAGTTGATAATGCAGTTTGTACACGATATGCATCTAGAGAGAGATTGATTACAATTTTATTACCCTGGTGCATTCCTTCACCACCAGGACATACGGCGTAGTCATCTTGCTCTTCCAATGAACAAGCAAAGATGGAAGGATCCGCAAATTCACATGTTCCAAGATCGGAGACATGGAGGAATAGAGAAAATGAAAGAATATGAAATAGTTAAGATCAAACTATACATAAGAGGAAAGGTGATAATCAAGTGGTCGATGCGAGGGTCCAGTTAAGATTGAATCGAGTGAACCGGCAAAGCGAGTTGAAGCATGAAGAAAATAACACCTCGAGATTGCAGAAACTGTCGGATGAAGTCCCTGAAACGTCGAAAAATCAAAAAGCAAAAGAATCAGAACCTATTTAAAGAAAAACAACATCAATGAAAATTTAATACTCACAGTAATTCAATCTTGCAGCGATCATCTTGCACCCAAATCCACAAGGATTCGATCAAGTATTGAAACAATTCTTCCTTTGTAAATGGTTCGATCGGAGTTGCAATACCAAGACCTCTGGCAAAGTCTTCTTCCATTCGACTTGCAATAGAATCGGTAACTCTTTGTCCTTGTAGTTCACGTCTTCTGCTTGGTGAGAGACCTTTGGGCTTTCTCAATTCATACATTAGACCGTATGCAACAAATGCCAATCGTTCAAGTGCCAGTCGGTCATGAGAAGGAATGGGTCCTTCTGCTATTGGTTCGAGGATTTCGGTAACGGAGGAAGGCCCAAGACCGGCGCATTTCCCATGTTCCACGAGTACGTCGCTTAGATAAGGACGTCTCGCGAAAAGGATTTCGGCCAAGGGAGGAGGAGGATCCTCGGAACTAGATAATGAGATGTCAATACAATCGGAAGTCAGCTGTGAATGAATTAGATCAAGATCAAAGAAAGATAAGACATACTCTGAGTCTCGGGGCAACCTGACAGACGGACGGATGACACAGCGGCGACGGATCCTTTGCTTGATATGCTCGGGAATGGAGGTCGTCTTGAAGGTCTTATGATAACGAGGATCGAATGCTTCATCCGAAAGCAGAGACGATATATACACCATCTTATACAAGGAGCTAGTGAAAGGACTGAGAGAAGTGAAAACCGAGAGGAGGGAATGAAAAGTACTAGGATGGCTCGGTCGAGGTGAAAACTAGGAGGTGATCGCTTGGTTGAAGGTAGTGAGGTTGTAAGAGGAAGTCGATTTGGAAGTGATGGTAGTGAGAATGGTTGGTTCTGTATCTGAAGAACTGAAGTTGACGAATTTTGTGATCCGGAGATCAGCTTTTGAGTGCTGATCAGCTAAAAGGCTTGTATTGGGGGAATACTTGCCGCGGTCACTTCCTCGATTTATGATCACGCGACTCGCTGAACGGAGCCCCCCAATCGTTTCATGTTTGTTTATTTGTTTGTTTACTGTATCAATCTCAAAACCTAATTTTGCCGACTGAGCTGGCTATGATCGCGAGTGGGGCGCAGAGTTTTCCGGCTGGTGATACGCGTGATGTGTGGAAGAAATCAAGGTCTTGGATAGTTGGGATGGTGATTGAGAAGTGAGGTAATGGAGAGTCAGCTCTATGAAATATAGATTCTTTGTTGCCACCAAAAAAACTCACCAATCTCTGCAGCTCTTGGTGATGGAAAAGCGCTATCGGTTTGCTTTCCGCCAAAAGCCAGCCAACGTTGGATGTAATGAGAATCATATAAAACATACCTGCGCGACCTACGCAGAGTATCATCTCGAAGATCCCAGCAAGTTTCTTGATGGCTCCGAATTCCTTGTGATGATTCTGTTGGTTAGATTGATCCGAAGCAATCAGTGATGAATCTCCTTCGAAATTATTCTTGTCAGGGGCCGGCAAGCCTTTACGAGTCCCTTGTGAACTTTGCCATTCAGTTTCAGCCCGCAACTTCTTTTTCTGCGATTGGTTCATGAGGTTGATCCAGATGCGGAAAGGTTACCATATAATCTCAGTGATTGGCGAAAGGTATACAAGAGTATTTGAGCTGGACACCAAAGGCATTCCAGTATTGGGAGTTAGTTGAATTGGAATTTTCAATTTGGTCTGATAAGCTGATCAATACATACATTGAAATGTAGGAACACGGCTTCAGATATCAGTCTAATAAATTGTATAGAGAGCCTTTTTCTCCTCCAGACGGCTTCGCGATTTTGTTTAGCTACAAAGCCTAAACACACCAATCCATATTGCCTAGTACTCGAGCATTTATCGGCTTACGCCAATCACCAATACTATATTAGCATTTTCTTTAGAATTACTGCGCTTCATGATACAAAAAAAATCAGTTGCTTACTTTGTATTAACCTAGGATCGGCAGCAGACGAGTATAAAGACTAATCTTCTCGATCATCCTATCGAAATTTTTTTCTTCATCTATAGCACTACCTTCCCATCCAGAATTCTTCAACCCAACTTAACCCCTTCTTACTTGACTTCCATCTCAACCAGCTTTTCTGATAACCAAAATACCTTTTGCTCGATTTGAAAATATTACTTTCGGTCAGACTATGAAAGTATTTCCGCTATTTGTTTATCAACTCTTTCAACAACAGTTTACTTATTTTCTTGTTTAATTTCGTGAAAGATGTGTCTTTTGGATGATTTTCTCATCAGTATGGTACTTGTGGGCTTGTTTATTTGTTTATTTACACCTTTTTCAATCATACTCTAAATCCTAATCAATCATACTCTAAATCCTAATCATTCATCATCTTGGATGTATTCGAAGCTTTTAATGAGTTCACGTCTCCAGATCGTTGAAGGCTTTGCGAGACCTCATCCGAGCACGGATTGAATTCGAATTATCTTTACAATTTTCATATATTGCATTACTTTTATTGCTATCTAATCTCCTTCAAATCGAGAATCTGAGACTATTTGATTATAAACTCGTATCAACAAAAGTTTACTTATTTTCTTGTTTATGCTTATGAAATATATGTCTTTTGTATGATTTGCTCATCAGTATGGTACTTGAATGCTTGTTTGTTTGTTTTCATTTACACCTGATTCAATGATAATCTGAATCCTGATCACATTCATCATCTTGGATCCATTGGAACCGTTTACTGAGCTCCTGTCTCTAGACAGCTGCAGGCTTTGCGAAACCGCATGTGAGTTACAAACTATTTGAGAGTATGCGAAGGCTTCTGTAGCTCGCGTGAGCTTTCGAGCTCTGTCCACGCGTATTTTATACCTATGTTGCAATCTAAAGACGCTCAAAGTGCTATATCTTGAAGACCCTTCATCTGAGAAGTTCGCTACGTAGTCACTTCAATTTCATGGTGATCACCAACCAAGTCGCGACTTGGTGTATAAGTCTAAGACTGAGTGGGATGGTAGTAGTAAGAAGTTCTTGTATGATTGTAGGGAGGGTACCTCAAGCAGTGAGTGCTCGTGGTAGCAACGCGGAAAAATTTAAGATTTCCACTACCACCGTGACCTCACCTCCCGCGCCCAAGCAGAACGCATCTCTGAACACCACTAAGCTCTCACTGCTCAACATTATTACATTTTGATATACTACCCAGCCCATCCAGGCAAAGTCAAGATCACAAGGTTTGCGAGGTGAGGAGGTTTTCTCACTCACGGACAGACTATATTTGTTAGACTTAGGTCTGGTTGGTAAATTAGGAAGTGATAGATATCGAGCGCACAAGCCCGAACAAAGTGGAGTGTTCCCATCAAAGTTTCGAGATAAAATATCAAAAGCATCGATCCTCAAGCCCAGAATCGATATCATATTGTAACCTTTCAAAAATGATACAATATCTCAACTGAGAAGATACTTTATAAAGAGTTCTCGTTTTTATTTGCACAATATCTGCGGTCATGAAGTTTCACTTTTGATCCAAATCAAACCGGTCGCGACATGTGTCTACTCTGCTGATTTAGGTGGCATCGATATCCAAGTTCTTACTTTACAATGCCTCTACTAAGTATATTTCATCTAGACATTGGAGAAGGGATTGAGGAGGCTCTTCAGATAAATGTGAATTGCCGAAGTAGTCTTTTGAAGGATTTCCCAGAAAGAGTTGGCAAGTGAGTGCGCAGGTTAGTAGTTCATGATTTTCGAATTTTGAGGTGATAAAATCGACCGCTGCTACATGAGGTTCTTCATCATCAAGATAAGTTATCCTTTTGCACAAAAACCGAGCTAGTACAACATTGAATTTAAGAAGTTGAGAAAGTTGAGACAAGTGCTTAGATATACAATTAAACAGTGGGGATAAATTCTCGGGAAATTGCAGTTTGATTGAGTCGATTTGACTAGAGGGTAATCTAACCATGATCAAGGGACGTTATTTCGGGAAAAAGTCGTCAACGTGTTCATCAAGATGGCTGCGCAGATCTGATGATTTTCATCATGATACTGGCAATTTACTTGATCTTCAGGGTGACTATCTATGTCTTTTCAAATCATTCAAATTATGAAGTTCTTGTTTTTGGTCCTTCCTTCTGAAAAAGGATAACGATGTCTTCTCTAGCTAATGTACACATTCGATGACGGTTTAATGCAAAGGGGCTGCTTCTAATTCAAAAATGAGATGAAGATCATTGCATTTCTACATGTTGAAAACGTATGAAGAATGGACTACCCAAAATCGCGGTGAGCAATATAATGCTTTAGACGTCATCCTGTTTGCTTTCAACAGGAAGTCGGCTGTCCAGATACATGATGTTGAACAGCATGGAGATCAACAAGAACGATCGAAGTCAACGATGCGCTGGTCATGATTTTCACACAAGGATTCAGTGATGCTATTCTTCACATATCGTCACAAACCAATTTCGAAGTGGTGAATGAGACCCTAGACCGTTTATCCACTGACTCGATCATTCGTCATACCCAATCTCATCATGAGGTTAAGGAATGATTAAATATCATGATCACAACGGGGTGATAGGCCGCTAATCTTGATACGTTCGAGTTGATCCCTTTCCGAGAGGTCTAGGACAATGAGATTCCATAGCAACGTTCCACTTCTCGTCGATCTAGGTTATTGGTTCACATCCTCAGTGGGGTATTTTAAAGCTCCTTTGATGTTCATGCACCTTTCGTGGGTTATCGTATCGTTTGAAGCTACAAAGTAATGTTTTCTTTTCGTCTGGAATCTGGGCAGTAAATATCGAGCAAACTTAATCAAGTCCAAAATGGTAATCACTCCCGATGTAAAAACCCTGGCACGATTTTGGACTTACATATTTAAGTTTGAATTTTAATCCTTTATCCTAACTTTTTTCACAGCAGAAATCTTCAGATATTTGAGAAACAGAAGGAAACAGCATTCAAACATTTCTACATTCACACTATAATTGCAGAGTATGATTTGCCTTTCTTCAGAAACAATTAGCAAATTTTCATGCAACCTTTCAACCCCCCAAAAAAATCCAGATTCCATAAACCACATCGTAGAATTTTCCCAGAAACTCAGAGGAATAGAAACCAAGTAAGTATTTCTTGATTGAATTCATCAATAGTTTTACATCAAACACTTGCTTTTTGTACAAGATTCAGTTAATCAATCATCAAAAGTTTTCATATATGATCAAAATTGAGCAAGTTTATTAACCTTTTTTTTCCAACCTCATCTCTTTCCCTTACAAAGAGAAAACTTTCATATGATCATACAATAAAATCAGATTTCAAACCTATGTACAATTACACAATAATATGTATCCAAACCTTCAAGTTAAAAACTTTCCTTAAATCAATTTAAAGTTGAACCAAAAGAAGATTTCATGAAATTTCAATCAATTCAAATCACATAAGAACAACCAAGGCTAGGGTAAGATGATATCAAAATGAGTAGTAAGTAAACTTAAGAGAGATAGAGAGAGAGAGAGAAAAGAACCGGCCAGAGGCAGCTGCAGCCTGTACTGGAGCTCCACCCCCCTTTAAGACAAAAAACAAAACACTCATGGAAAAGCTTAAGCATTTTCCTTAAACCAAAGCCGATTGAAAGTTTCGGTTTCTAAACTTCAGCCCAACCACTTGATCCAGATTCTAATGGATTACCTAATAAGCCTAACACGAACGCTACCACATTCGCTGTTAATCCAACATTAAACCCACGATAAAGTTGACGTAAACCAGAAGAAAGAGAAGTAGGATGATGAGAAGTTTGGATAGGATCTTGATGAAGACTTGAAGGATCATGAAGGGTTGATTTAGATCTTCTTGTTCTTCTTCTTTGAGGAAGTTGAGGAGAACTAGTTTCTTCTGTAAGGATTCTATAAACTGCTTCTACAATTCCAGCATAAGGTTTAGGTCTGAGGTTCACACAAGGTTTGAAATCCGTTTTGCTTTTGGGATCGATCGCTCTAGATTGTAATTGTAATCGTTTCCTAACCGTTTCGATGGGTAAGATCAATAACAAACCAAGACTAGAGAAAGCTAAACCGGCTAGTCCATGTAGAACAGGTCTTTCTAATCGATCGATCTTCAAGACTCTTTCGATCAATAAAGGTGTAGATAAATGAAAGGCAGGTCTCAAGATGTTATCTAAGATAGTAGGTAAGATTAAATTCGAATGAAAATAAAGTCCAGTCCAACCGGCTTCTTCTTTGAAAATCTTTTTCAGTCCATCTATCGGACCTGAATATTTTCGATACCTTAGTTGAGAAGATTGAACGATCAAACGAGTTCGAATCAAATCTAAAGGTGAAAGTAAAATCCCCGTTAATAAATAAGAACTGATTGAAAAAGTTAATGGTAAACTTGGATCTTCATGATGTTCAAGTGGTAAACTGATGGAAGAAGGACTACTAGGATTCATGAATTGATTCGAAAATAAAAACGAAAGACTTGAAAGGATTAAAGGTTGTAGACAACTTGAAAGACTATCGGTCAGAAAGGTGGTTAATTGTCCTTTCCATAGTGCAATAAACCCTTCACCACGCCATCTAAAGATTTGTTTAATCATATCAGTCACTCCTCCTTGAACGGTAATAGGTAAAATGTATTCGGGTTGTAATCTTTCTTCTGGTTTGTTTAATCTTGGTTTCGGTGGGTTTGATGGATTAAGACTATGACCATTACTAGGCATCGATTGACGATTTGATGAAGCTAATGAGATCCTTGGACCTGTACGAGTTTCAGTAAAACTTGAAGATTCATCCAATAAGATATCAATGAAATCATCAAGAAAAGGATTTGTGAAGAAAACACTCACTAAGCACTTTCATCATCATCATCATCTTCTCCTTCTTGTTCTTCTAGATTCATTTCATCATCAAATGATTCATCTAGATGATCATGATTTGATTTGATCAAAGTGTCTTCTAATAAATCATCTTTAGGTATCCATTGAACTTGCATTAAAGTCTTACCCACCTCAAATGGCATCACCATGGCAGTTGAAGTGAATCCCATAAAACCAGAATTAAATAAACTTTTAAAAAAGTGTGGTAAATCATTTGTATATTGATTTGAATTGAATTCGAGATCTAAATCACTTAGAAAAGATTTTGATGAGTTGTTTAAGTTGAATGAAGTTGATGGTTTTGTTTGAAATGAGAATGAAAGTTCTTTAATCGATGGATGATTCGTTGGTGTCGTTGGTGGTGTCCTTGTTGTTGAAGTAGTTTGGTTTAAGTAATGGGTGATTGGATTTTGATTGTTTTGTTTTGGTTGATAGTATGGTCTTAGTGAATGAGTTAAGATTCGATTATTACTTGGTTCGATGTTGGTATTGGTATTAGGATTGGATGTCATTCTGTTTGGTTTGTTTGAAATGCTGAGCTGAAGTTCTGGCTTGGAAGAACAATCCACTCAATCTCAAATATGTAGATCTCAACTTTCAAAATGTAGTTGACTCACAAAAATACATTATTTGCTACTTGCACCTTTACATGTTACAGCTCTCGTGGTGGGCGCGGGGTTTGAATTCAGGGCGCGCCCAGCGCGCCTTTTCAAATTTTTCGAAGGCGCGCCTGTAGTGAGGGCGCCAAGGGCGCGCCTTTTGGGTACACAAAACCAAGAAAAATCGAAAAAAATCGCAAAGATGATAAAAAAAGGATCCCACTATTTAGAGCCCCCTCCGCTGATATCCGGAGCCCCCCGGGTTTTCACCAAAACCCGCGTGACCTGTTGATACCCCGCTTTTTTTAGCCTATATAACGCATGTTCGGACCTCGAGGGCTCATCAAGGGCTCCCTAATAGGGCACAAAATCACGGATGAGCCCCTTTTGGATCATCAATTAACGTATTTGGAGCCCCTTCATATATATGGGGCAACAAATATGATGAAAACAAATGCAAGGGCTCCCAAATTGTTTGGCACCCGGACCGACCCTTGCATGACGGACAACATTGGCCCTTCAAGTGCCCAGCAATATGCTTACATATAGAAGTTCCCATCTCTCCCTCACACTCACTTTCCATGTCCGATTTTCTTATCACTTAATCACAACTTTAAAAAACCAAACCCCAATAACCCAGTTCATACCTCTACCGTTCTTACGTTTGAAGTCGTGTTCAGAGTTCATCAATACCTATATATCTTGCTATTTCTCTATCTTTTGACCTCTTGGTGTTTGATTGATATTTATATAAGTTTTGATGTGTTTGATTTGGTTTACCATCATCTTGAATTCAGATATAAATTGTTGATGATTGAGTATTAATTGAGTTTAATCAACTTGACTATGAATCAGAATATGATGGGATCGAACTCGATCCAAGATTTTCAATGTTCTCCTTCTGATCCCATCAAGTTTCCACCACCACCACCACCATCCATTACCTTTTCACCCAATCAATTCGATCAATTGAATTATTCACCTGGCAATACTTCTACTACTACAACAACAACTGATCACCATTTAATCTTAGCTAGCACTCCCAAAAGTTTACTCAATCATCCTTCTAACATTACTGACAATTTGATCGAGAGTAGTAGTTCTTCTCATCTTCCTAGTCATGAACCTTCAATTAATTTCCCTTCTCCTTTTCATCATGAAGATCAAAAACAACCATGTCGGGCTCCTAAAGATACATGTTGTACGTATTGTCAAGGCTTGTTTACCTCTAGAGGTGACAAACTTCACAAACAATGTTGTCTTCACAAGAAAGAAGCGCGGTCTTTTGGCCGTTTGATCGAGAGAGCGAGGCTCGCTCCATGGTGACCATCTCATCAATTCAATGTTTATTAATTAATATCATGGGTGGGCACATGATGAGGATAGATAAATGATGAGATTAAATAAAAAAATGGAGCCCCTTGTGGAGCCCCTTCTTGGAAATGGGGCGCCTGATTTATTTGTAGCCTCGGGTCCGACCCGAAAGAGGGCTTCGGATACTGCTCCGAGGGCTCTAAATAGTGGGGTCCTAAAAAAATTGCAAAAGACCCGTTCAAAGTGTTGAAAGAGGAAGACTGATTCTTGCAGATAACATATTACTTGAATAAAGGACAAAGAAAATGTTAAGAATCAAATAAAGAGATCATCTTTGTCCCATGATTCATTGTCAGAATCATCCACTACCATGACATCTGTAAATACTTGATTGGAATTATTGAACAAAGTGAGGTCAAACAAAGATTCTATGTAGCTTTGTTCCTCAATTGGAATGTCATTGAGTTCCACTGGATGATCAAAAAGAACTCCGTCTTCAAATTCTTGAAGCTGGTCAAGGTCTTCAAACTGTACATCTCTCTTGATCTCATCTTCATTATATTTTGTGCTTTCGACTGTAGATTTACCACTTGGGTTTTCAGCTTGAAGATCCATTTCAATCTGAGAGATCATCTTCAATGTATCAACTTTCATGCGCGGTCCTGACTTGGTTTTTTGAGAAGACATTCCCAAGAAAAGGCTTTTTGGGCATGATTGGTGGTGGGGGGGGTGAGAAAACGATGAGAAAGCTCAAGACCGACAGTACTTGCTCAAAGGGCGCGCCCACCCCATATTTTGACTTCTCGGGCGCGCCCGGGCGTAGGCGTGGGGGCGCGCCTAAAAGGCGCGCTTTTCACGCCACGCCCACCACGTGAGTTACAGCATTATCAAACCTTTCAACTTTTCTTACTTTCAAACCTTCATTAGCGGTACACAAAATTAAAACCCATCAGAAAAACCCGTGTAAAAAACCCATGAAAACCCATCTGATTTTCGGGTTTTTAGAACGGGTTTTTTTGATGGGTTGCCCTGGAAAGCTTTGTCGCCCCCACCCCTTCAAGTCCCTATCACAAAAAAATGCCTAGGATCTCAGCTCACAGGCAGCTCTTATCATCTCTTGATGCCATGATCTTACTTCAAGTCTCTCTTCTTGCGTCCACCACAACTGTGTCTTCACCCACTACCGCGACTTTCATTCCAAACTTAATTTCCTGTCTGATGATGGTGTCTTTCATGAATTCCGACGACAATGACGAAATCGATGAATCAGACGATAACATTGGCCATCAAGAACTTACTTTCATATTTGCTTACACGGTCATGATGTTAACTACCTTGGAGCAGGGTGCCTACATCAACAAACGAAAACGGAAATTGGAAGCAGACGAATCAATTCTAGGAGTCCTTTTGACGATACAGGAAGAAGCAAGAAGAAGAAGATACCCTCTTCCCAGACATCGCAGGCCTCGTTGTAGTCAGAAGGCTCAGTGTTTTCAAGATTGGTTTGATGAGACTGATCGCACTTGGATGTCAGTTGTGAGTTCAAGAGATTTGTATCTCCAAAGTAGTATGTTCAGGGTTTGATTTATGATCTTCCTTCTCAAACGGTCTTAGGCACGTATTCGAAAGGAAGACTTCACGAAACTTCTCCACCGAATAGGATCATCTCCTATCTTTTATAATAATTCAAATCATGACCAGGATACGGTCCAGTGGCAGCTATTGGTGACATTGGCAAATTTTGGGTTATCGGGCAATGGAGGCTCCCGTAATATAAGGCAAAAACTTTCTCTGTGTCGGGTGAGTCCATGTCAATCTGGAGTAGCAATCTCGCCGAACTGATCTTGAACTGACCATGTTGACTTTTGCAAGAGGGAAGCGTTGATAATTACACTAAACGGTGCATCATTGCAATTCTTGAACTTGAGTCGGAATATGTACGATGGCCGAATGCCGAAGAACGAGTGGCAATTAAGAGACGAATTGGCCGAACATCTTGGTTTCAAGATTGTGTCGGTTTCATTGATGGAACTCTGGTGCCTTTAGCAGCAGCTCCCTCCAAAAATAAGGAAGACTACTATACTCGAAAGTCCATATACGCCTTAAATTCACTTATCATATGTGACGATCAGCGAAGGGTAATCTATGCCCATCATGGGTGGTGTGGGAGTGCACACGATCAACGCGTGCTGAAGTCTACTAACGTGTGTATTTCTCGTATTTCTCAAGTGTCTAAATATCACATTCATACTGACGTGTATATTTCAGTTCTACAAGGATATGCCCTCTTTCTTTTCGGAGGGAGAATACATTCTCGCTGACTCAGGATATGCGTCTTCGAAACACATTGTTCCGGTATTCAAACGATCACGTTTTCAAGGGCTTGCACCGTCCCAAACTCACTTCAACAATGCGATTTCGAAAATCAGAATCGCTTCTGAACATTGCAACGGGATGTTACAGATGCGCTTTGGTTCCCTCCACGAGCTACGACTGGCAATCAGCAACGCAAAGGATGCAGTCTTTGTATGTGATTGGATCTCTGCTTGTGTAGTTGTACACAATTTTGTAATCGTTGAAGGTACACCGATGGCAGGAATCAATTTGAATAACAACAGTGATTTGGACTTCATAGACGACACTATAGATCATACAGATGCA